AAGATGCCGGTCATAGATGCTGGCGAAATGTTAGGAAACAAAACTTCCAGAACATGGCCACACAGCCCAGAAGACCCACACCAGCCATCCTCTGAATACCACTTGCTGGAAAGTAGGAACATGCTGTTTTATCTGTGCCCTATTGAACTTGAACTTTATTACAGGTAGCCCTTGGGTTACAATGGCAATTGGGACCGGGTTGCTTAGCTACGGCAATCCCAGCAGTCCCAGTTGCTGTCGTAACCCCAGGACTGCATGGGCTGTTAAGTGGGAAGAGGCAAGAATCCCAGGCAAGTGGGCCAATGGATGAAACCTGTGGGTGAGAGCTATGGGTGGGTAGATGGCTGCCATGGGCAGGCACTACAAAGCATGGGTGGGTTCTGCGGGCAGGCAAAAAAGTGGCTGGAGCAATTTGCAGCCTCCTGCCGGCTTCCCCATTGACTTTGCTTGTGGGAAGCTAGCGGGGAAGGTTGCAAATCGTCGGTTGCGATCACGTGACTGCAGGATGCTGCAATTGTTGTAATTGCAAGCAGGTTGCCAAGTGCCCAGATCGCGATGACGTGACTGCAGGGACACTGCAATGGCTCTGACTTCACGGATCAGTGATAAATCCCCCATGTTCAGCACCATCGTAACTTTGAATGGTCGCTGAATGAGTGGTTGTAACCCAAGGACTACCTGTACAGTGAAAGATCAGCATGAAAAAGTAAAGAAATAATAGAAGGGGCAGGCATCCAAAGCCAGTCATAATATAGTCAGGATCACCCCAGTAGATATTAAAAGCCAGAATAATTTAAAAAATCAAAACAATAAAAATATGACAAACAAACCAAGTCTAAATAGAAATACAATGAATAAGGTAAGATAAAGCTAACATCACTATAAAATTTACCTGTGTAAAATATACTAGACAGTGTATAAAACAGGTAGGTATCAGGTACTGATATCAGTATCAGTAAGTATAAAGCAAATGAGTATAAAAAGCCAGGAGGAAAAAAGTGCATATAAAAAGCAACTATTTCCAAAAAAAGACAATCTAAGGAGAAAAGCAATTATTGCTAACATTTTGTAGGTACCGACATCTTTCTGCTTTGTATGCTACCTCAACAAATTTTGCCATATAATGTCTCCTAACAACTGGAGAGCTAAATCAAAATGCCTGGGTGACCTGGAAATCTAATAATAATGGTGTTATGTAGATATTTCATATATGTCTGTTAAATTGATAAGCAAGTCATATGTGCTCCATTGTTTCTACCTCCCCATCCCTATAGGGGCATAATCATTCTGGATAGGAGGCTTTTTATATCTTCCCTTTAGGACCACCAAGGGAACAGCCCCACACCTTACCAAAGTAAAGCTCTTCTGTGCCCCAAATAGGCCATTTGTGTTATGAAGCAGGTTTTAGGAGGTACTGTATGCACTGGTCCACCAGCAATTTGGAAGCTCTGCCTATATCACTTTGGCGCTCCATGTCCATAATGCGGTTTAATAAGCAATGTTGTCCGATCATAGCCCGTTTTCTCTCTGGTGCGGGAAAAAAAGTATGTCTGTACTTTACTTTCAACTGCGCTCATCCAGGAAGACTTATATTTATCTGACAGTATCAAGCAGGCAAGACTCTCAGGTAAGAAAATACGTTTCAGCCAATAGGTAAAAATTAGGAGCCAGAATCTGGCCTCTGCATTCATCGTACCTGATTCAAGGCATGCATGCACTAGAAACAAAACAAGGCACTTGAAATGCTATCCTGAGGAATTTAGACTGGACTCATTGCAGGGAGGCAAAGCTAGAAAATGGTCTAAGCTGTGCTCCATTAGGGAGCTAGGTCCAAGATTTAGCTTGAAATAATTTAAGGGCTGCTGGAAGGCAGTACTCCCACCCCATCTCACCCTGTTCAGTGGAATCTCAAAATAGCTGATGGGCTCTTTTGTGCACTCAAGGCATCATGGCTTTTGTGTGCCCTTCAACTGCCTGAGGCATAAAATATCTCTTCCAGGTATTTAAAGCATGAGACTTGCACATACGAAGCTTACTGATGTGGCAGGAAATAGTTTTTAGCCTTCTGGCAAACATCATAATTTTGATTTTAGAATAATTTATCTCTAGTTGATGCTCTTTGCAATATTGAGCAAGGGCTCTCTGTGCTCTCCTAAGGCCAGTGGGAGTCCTGGAGAGGATCACAGCATCATCAACATAAAGAAGGGTACAGATGCATCTCTTGGCTGGCTTGCGGGGGATGGTGATTCAAGTTGTCCAAATGGTCAGCTAGGCCATTAATGCAGAAGTTGAACAAATTGAACAAGGCTGAAATGCAGCCTTGCTTCATTCTTTTCTCCTTTTAATTCAGTTGGGATTAAATTGGTAAAATGGCCCGGAGGATTACATCTGATTTATGTAGATATGTTCTCATGCAATAAACGGATTTGATATAAAAGCCTCTTATCTATAGAGGAAGCATTCAGTTTCTCCCACAGAATATAACGTGAAATGGAGTCAAAAGCAAAATTTAAATCAATAAAAGTTGCATAAAGAGAGGTTACAGATTGAGAGGAGTATTTTTCCACCAAGCGTTGCAAGACTATACATTGGTCAGTAGCCAATTGACTCTTTCTGAAATCAGCATGCTCTTCTGCCAAGAGCTTTTCCTGCTCCAGCCAGTCTTGAAGCTTCCATTGCAGGTGTGTGACATAAAGCTTGCTCATGGAGCTGAGCAAGCTTATTGGCCTATAATTTGAAGGATCTTCTCTATTGCTTTTCTTGTAGATAGGCACTATAATTGTAACATTCCAGTCCATAGGGATTCATTCAATCTGGTCAACAATTATAAGCAGGGCTCCTAATCCAAAGGGCCATCAGTCCATGTTTCTCTTTATCATATCCAGTGGAATCAGGTCACATCCAGGTGCCATCCCCAGTTTCAGCTGGCCAATCAAATCCAGAGTTTTGGCAGAATCAGCCAATGCAAGTAGGTCTGTCAGATCACTGGATAAATGGCAATAGCATCAGCCTTGCTGTCTAAGTTCTTGAAATGTCTTCCCCATGTTTCCTGAAGAATAAAATTACATAACAAGAACAAGACTTCAGTCAAACAGTCAGATACTAAGCACCAAAATTAGGCAGAGTTCTTAATCCTAACAGCTTGGAAGAACTGGAGCCGTGCTGCTTTTATGGCTTCCCTTTTTCACTGCAGGAATTGTTTATACATGGCCTTTTGTCTTAAGAGAACTTGGCTGGGAAAAGATTCTTGACTGGATCGATATATCTTAGCAGTAAGAAGTGTCTTTGCTAGCCTACATTTTCTATGGTAGAGAGGGTAGAGAGTGAGGCCTAAAGGATAAGTCCTGCCTTTTATAATGGTCAGAGTCCTGTGCAGTCATGAATCGCTGAAGTTCAGAAAGAAGTTTTTCATACTCCAGCTTAAATGAATTCACCGATTCTGTTGAAAGTATTTCATTGCAAATTCTCTACAAGAGGTTTTGTGGCAGCCCTGTCTAAATGTGTATACCATTTAACCCAGCAGATTCTCCCAGCAGAATATAGATTGGAATGATACATTTTTTTCATTTGCAGAAATAAAGAGGGAGATATAAAGTAAATGGTTGGGAAGAGGTGATCTCTATCAAAGTATGTGGAGACCCCAAATAAATTGATAAACTGAAAGAGGTTTCCAGACACAATTATATAGTTGATGAAACTCATTCCCTGCCCAGTGTGTTCCTCTGGATGATCATTTGGAAGAGAGCCCTTTGAGATGTGCTAATTAAGCCAATAGACCATCTGTGACAGGCAGTCTTGCAATATTGGGCTTCTGATGTTTAGAAGAATGTGCAAGTTTTCCTGACCCCTTGTTCCCCAGGTCAGGTAAGCAGGAAATGGTGTAAGGCATGTAAGTATTATCGTCTGGTACTAACCTAGCATTAAAATCACCTCCAATCACGACATAGGCTAAAGGCAAAAAGGAGACTCAGTTGCTGTATTGGCCTTATGTGTACTTAGGTCAGTCTGTAATGGCAGGGGGACGTTGGCTTTATTTGTAGTGTTTACGTCCACAGTTAACAGGGAGGAAATATGATGCTAGTGGCTGTCCTTGATTTTGTGCTTGTTCCAGCCATTGTTTTAGCTCTTGGGGGTGCTCAGAAAGCCACTTTCTGGGAAGAAAAATATTAATTTCCATGGACACCTGATGGTTACTCACATTCTACCCAGTCCTGTTTGGTTTTATTTAAGTGGAAAGACACCAAGGTTCACTGTCATGAAAGACTCTGTTATGGAAAAACTGTGTGAGAGATACCTCATCTTTATCAATTTAAATGGCAAAGAGGAGCATTGAAATGTAAGTAAAATTCTCCTTGTGTAGGGATGACTAGAAAGGAACTAAATAGAGTCCAGATTTTGAGATACAAATCTAAATGGCATGTTTAGTATTATGCAGTGACAATACAATCACTTTTCGGTGCAACCACCTCTCTTCATTCAGCTGGTTCATCTCTATTTGAAGTGCCACCTGTGAAAGTTGTAAAATTCTTGAAATACTTGTGTTTGAATTATTACATCCTTCCTTTTCCCTATTACAGGTCTGGATTACTTTCTTCCACAACCTGACTGAGATTGTCTATTTTTGTTTTAATGTCACTCAGAGATATGAATATTATCAGCTACAGTTTCCGCCATGAGCAAACACGCCCTGCTCTCCTACCTATTCTGTGTAAAAGTTATGTAGATATTCAGATCATGAATTAGGAAAGAGTCCATCTGCATTTGCTTCCCCGCCTTGTCAACAGTGCAAATGAGTCTGTGGACTGGTTCTGGCCCCCTTCTTTATGTTTGTCATAGTTGGTGTCAATGTAAGTCAGTGAGTGTGTGAGTTTGTAATTGAGTGAGATATTACTGAACTCATATCAAAAGGTTCCAGGCTATCTCAGAAAGTCTCAACAAAATCAATGAGTTTTTGACACATTGCAATATTTGATTGATATGGTGCTTGCAATCTGTCTCACAGATAGCCTGTATGTGCATAAATCAACCTGTCTTCCTCTTCCTTCCCCCCCTCCACCTCATCCCAATATAATCCTACATCAGTTTAGCCACTGTGCAACTGATGAAGTGAGTTCATGAAAGCTTAAACCTTTTAATGCAGCATGTTGGCCAGAAAAGGTGCTACCAGATTCCTTTTGAATTTTAGATACAGATGCAGGTAGATATAGGATATTACAATTATGTAACACTTATTTTTTTCAGCAATGTGAGCAATGAATGAAACTTAAACAGTGAATGAAACTAAGACCATATTGAATCATATACCATATAATCATATCTTGCCTCTCTTTCGGTACAAAGCTAATTCAAAAAGCTGAGTGTTCACAAATTCCATTAAGACAACATTTAGAGTCTGGGATACAAATATTCTTCCATGAGTACATGGTCAGGTTTTTTGCAATACTCCAACTTTGATATATCCATATCATTGATTGAAAGGTTCCAGATTTTGGGAATATAATTTTTAAAAAGCATTTTAAAAGAAAGAAAAGAAAAAGAACAAGTATACATTATGCAATGAAGAAAGCAAAAAGAGAAAAATAGTAATAGAGCTTTGCTGCTTCTTTTTCCTTTTATTAAAATTCTTAAATAAGCAAAAAGGATTATTTTGTTGTAATATAAGATAGGGTAAGATGAGATTTGCCACTTGAATGTTGATTGAGTGTATTTTTCCAGAGGTTGAAGAATTAAAAGCACTTCTTCCAGAGATGGTGAGATTTGAACCTACTTGGAAGGAAGTGGAACTCTACAAAGATGGAGGAATAGCAATTATTGACCAATGGATATGTGCCCATGCCAGGTAACTCTCTCTCTCTCTCTCCTCTCTCTCATACACACACACACAGTCTTTTTCTCTTTCCCCATTGTGGGTGGGTAGGTAGGTAGATTAGTTTCTATTCGAATAGGTTGCATACAAACATGTAATTCTACAATACCAGATAATTAATAATTGATTTATAATTGGCAGAAATAAAATTATACATTTCTTGTATAGAAAAATTTTACCTAGAACTCCACTGGGAGATCATTTTTATACCAGGTGAATAAATGGGGCACCATGCAAATTCAATTTACCATAGCATTTATTTAATTTAGTTGATAGGGTCATTTTGATCACCTCATTTAATTAGAGCAATCAGCCAAATTCCTGCTTACAATCCTGCTAAATTATTTGGACTTCCCTGTTTCTGATAAATTTCTGATAAATTATTTAGGTGAGGGTTTGTTTTGGAACTAATTGGATTCCATACGTTTTCAGAGGAGCAGATGAAATAACATTTAAAAACTGTTTTATTGTCTGAATGTTTGAAGTATTATGAAAAGGTTATGCTTTTTATGAACGTACAGTTCATAAAAGTAATACTAAATTATGAAAGTATATAGAAGTTATGAAAGTTATAAAATATGGGAGTCATTTCACCCGAATAGTTTTATTGTATGATTTCACTGTTTAAATGGCAAGGCGGGCCTGATTAGTACTTGGATAGGAGAACACCAAGAAATCCCAGGCATGTAGAACAGGCTGAGAAATGGGGGGGGAAAAAACATCCTAGAAGACAGGTTCTTGTTGCCAAGAAAATACATAGATGAGACTGACTTGAGTGTGTATTTATTTGAACCAAATAGCTTTCATGTGGGAATTGTATTTGTTTTTTAAGAAGACATATTAATTAGTGAGTAAACAGATTATTAGCTTTGCGTAAGATGAATTTTAAAAAAAACTTATGCTTTACTGCCATTTCTGACCAGCAATGTCTCTCTAGAGTTACAGAGATATCAGAAGCTATTTCTGGGAACTTCTATATGCTGAATATATGCTCTGTCTCTCAGCTATATATCCAGACCCTTTCTACCCAGGGTTCAGACCTGGGCATAAACAGAGACAGGTTAGGTCATTCCTGAAGATGGCTTGTGTAAAGACCTAGGTGGGAGTAATCTTTGCAAACCTCTCAGGCCATCAATCCTATTGATCATCATATCCTTGGTCATCTATAGGGATTGGTCATAGGAGACACAATGCTGCATTGAGTCTGCTCCTTCATCAGTGGGCAGTTCCAGCTGGTGATGGTGGAGGAGTACCAAATGTTTACTCCCTTATAGAGTACTGCAAGGTTCAGGCTTTTCTCCCCTGCTCTTTTACATTTACATGAAGCTACTGGTGGAGGATATTTGTTGGTGTAGCGTAGGGTATCATCAGTAAGGTATACCCAATTGTGCAGCACTACCCTGGGCCATACAGGAGAGGCTGTCATTGTCTTGACCCAGTGTCTGGAAGCTGTGGGTGTCTGGATGGGACAAAACAGCCTGAAATTGAACTCAAGCAAGATGGAGTTGATGTTTGTTCATTGGGGTTCTCTGATGCCTACACTGTTGACAAGGTGGCACTGTCTCTGAAAGAGCAGGTCTATAACTTGGAGATCTTCTTAGGCACATGGCTGCTGCTAAATAGGAGGCTGTGACCAGAAGAACCTTTGCCCAGCTTTTCTCATGACTCAGGCTCAGGACTGAGATTCAGATTCAGAATCTGAAGAAGCTGCTCCAGCTGAACCTGTGGAATGTCAGCCTCAGGAGACACTAAGCCAAGAATCACATGAGGCTGATCAAATACAGGCACCACCTGAACAGCTGGAGCAGTCAGATGATATTAGGCCTCCCCGCACCCGGCGAATAGAGTGAAGAGCTGAGCAACATAGGTCTATGAGGCTTCTTGCCAAGCAAGGGAGTAAGACTCTTAATTAGTGACAGCTGGCTGCAGCCTGATTTAAGAAGCAGTTCTGGCACATCCTCCCTTTGCTGGAAACAATGTCTAATCGCTGGCTCTTGCGTGATGCTCATGTGTGGATTCAGTTCATTTAAGAAACCTTGAACCTCTGACCTTTGGGCTGGCTGACAACCCTGACCTGGCTCTCAGATCCCTGGATTGGATTTGGACTCTTCTTCTGCACACTCCTATTAAAAACAAACTCTTCAGGCAAGCTCCTGTTTTGTTTACATTCTTGTTTGCTGTTTATCTCTTCAGCCTTGAAGTAAAGTGCTAATCTCCATAGCACATAGTGTTTGAATGTGTGTGATTGCAACCTGAAGTGGGACAGCTTTGGCTGATGGGCCAGTTGTAGCCCTACCCAGAGTGCAAGGACTTCATGACAACAACCCATGCCCCAACAGTCTTGTCTGCGGATATTTATTTTATTTCATTTATAAATCAAATTTATATCACTGCCCAACTCCCCACAAGGAGGAACTCTGGGCAGTTCACAACCAAATGCATTTGATATGCATTTGAGGCCTATCCAAAAGCTTCACTTGGTCCTGAAAAGGGTGGCCTGGGTGCTAGCTGACACATACCAGCATGAGAACATAGCCCCTGTACTCTAGGCCTGTATTGGGTTCTTAGTGGCTTCTAAGTGCAAATTGAAGTGTTGCTTTTAAATTTTAAAGCACATGGCCATCTTCTACAATCACTCTCACTCCTCCCCAACACATGTCCCAAGAGAACCTGCTGGCAGCCCCCCATATCCACAAAGTGAGGGGGTCAAGGCTTGGAGGTGCTCTTTTTCTGCTGGCGAACCTGTATTTTGGAGTAGCCTTCCCCACAGAGACTGAGTCTGTCCCTACACTATCAGTTTTCCACAGGCTATTCAAAATGAAGATTTTTCAGAGAGCATTTGAGATAGGAATTGATATCCTCGGTTGTAGTGTCGTATGTTAGGATTGATCTGTTTGCTTTATTTTCTTTTTTTACTATGGTTATTTTATTATCTTGTGTTGATGGATGTGGGGATGAATCCAATAAATGTATGCTTGTGTTTGATTTAGCAAGACTAGTGCAACCTTCTATTATCTCCATGGCATTAATGGATCACAGAAATTTCTCTAATGGATTTTGCCTAGCATACCTGCATTTTGGAATCTGTTTCTTTATCCACTTATATTTTCTCTTCACAGATATTTTATAGGAACCTCAGTCTCAACATTTTCTTTCCGCATTCATGAGGAAAGAGAAATTCTGGGTTTTGACCCCAAAACAACTTACAACAGATTTTGTGGAGATGATGAGAAAACCTGTGAACAGCCAACTCACTGGAAAATTGAATATTAATATATTCAGTCTGTGGAACTGCAGCTGATGCCTCACCAAAGAAATTATTTTTGTGGAAAGAAATTGGTTTTAAACATCTGTCCTTTTGTTCCATTGTTTCTGGTGTTAAATGCAAGTGAATGGTAGTACAGTAGCTTATTTCTTAAACAATTACAGCGGTCAGTATTATGGTTGTAATTCAAAAAAAGCAAAGTGTTCAACTGGCCTCTAATCAAACCATCACGGTAGACCAGTTCACTTTAACCCACTACTTTGCTTCAACAGAAGGTCCAGCAGAAGTGACCATTGAAGGCCCTCAGCTTGGCTGAGCTGAACCGTTTGAACTACAGACCCCTCAACCCTTTGCAAAACAGCCTGGAAAAGGTCACTTCAGTCATGGTTTTGATCAGAACAAAACACACTTCAAAGATTCATACATTTCTAGTTTTAACTGTTGACTCTTCTGAGAAGTCACATAGATGTCTCCTATTTAAAATCTGATCAGATAATATTTTCTGCTGCAATTAACTTGTTTCTAAAATGTTTTGCTGGAACTAAATTCACAAAAACAAAAGATCTAAGATATAACCGTAATTGAATAAAGTGTGTAAGAACTTACAATTCCATTTTATTTGTGAACTGGGAAGAAAGTACATGTATGTGGCTAAATTGTATGTCATAGTCAAGTTGTTTGTATGAGAAATTTTAAATGGCCTAAATTGTTCTCTCTCGTTTATGTCATCTTTCTTTTGCTTCTAGTTAATTTACTAAGCTATTCCTTGTTATCCAGAGTTGTCTCAGAAAACCAAATGTACACTTGCCAGTTGCTTATGATTAACAGAGTTGTTTCATCTTCGTATAAAAAGATAGCAACATTTCTGTGTAAGGTAGGCTCCTTAGCCGGTGTTGACTATAAAAATAAGGTCATGTCTTTCCATATCTGCAACAACTGCAAAATGCAGTTATCTGCATCCACTTTCCAGTAATCTTGGCATTCTTTGTAATTTAGCACAAAAAGAAAAAATTGGCAAGATATAACAGTTCAGCTGTCGTGCTAGAGTGAAAGCAAAATGAGTTTATGGACATTCCTTATGTGGATTTTTGTTTTTGGTTTTTTTTGTATCTGTTGTAGGGATAAGAACAGTTTTATCTTTTGAGTTTTTGGTGTGTTCTCTAAGCTTGATTGTTTTCCTGCAGACATTTCATTATCAGGCAAGGTAACATCAGTGCAGGAAATGTCTGCAGGAAAACAACCAAGCTCAGAGAACACCAAGAACCCAACAGTTCAATTCTGAGTGACGCATATTCTCTACTATTGGAGTAGAATAGTTATCTTTCTCTCACCCTCATACTTTTCTTGAAGTTATTTATCCTTTGGTCACTGTTTATCTCTTGTATCTTCTAGCTGAAATGTTACAATAGCAGGTAATTGTCTTTATCAGGTACTTGTCAGTATCGAACATGTCCTGGGATCTTCCTTAAAAGCAATAAGCAAGCAGTCTCTTAACAATTCTCTGGTCTACCTGCAAACTATTTTTTCTTGTCCTCTTCAGAACTCATAGTTAAAATGTGCCATAAATGAACACTTGCCAGATAGTAAAATAGAGGCTTCCTAGTTATGAAACTCTGCATCTGCTGTATTTTATCTCAGTTCTGTTCTTGAAATAACACACCGAGTGTTTGTGTTCTACCCCCATGAAAATTGAGTTACAGGAAAAACGTAGATGCTCCTATTCAGCCCTGAGTGGGAACAACTCTGAAATTCATGGAACTAACACTTTTGCTTCCCCCCCCCCTTCTTTGGTTCTATAATTTCAAGTTGATTTATTCAGCTAGGCAGATATGACTTTGAAAGAGTAAATCAATCTGATCTTTCAAATTAGCTCAATTAGAAAAAGGGGGCAGAAAGAGAGATTGAGGGTGATGTGCGTTATATGGACCATTTAAAGATAAGCCAGGGTGTTCACTTATGTTTTAATTTCTTTTCAATGCAATATAGTCTCCAATAAAATAAGTTTGCCTTTCTGAATATTATAGGCAAACAGTCTGTATAGAATTAAGATTTCATTCAACTAAATTCGTAGTGAATATTCAATTTACACTTTGTAGTATTTTCATCCCCATTTCCCATATATACAGCTAAAGAACTATTTTCGTTTTCTGGCATCAGTATCAAAAGTTAGCAACATTTGGAGATGGGACCAATTTATGATTTGAAACAAATCTAGTTAACTTTTAACAAAGTTACTTTCTGGATAGCTGATATGTACAAAAATGTAGAAATACAAGGTTAACATTCAAGTGAAGAAGGGTTGGAAAATGGCATTAAAAAGATTGGCCCTCTTTCTCAAACTATAGCTGCAGAGGCTGGTTTTAAATAGCTTTTTGTAATTGTAGCTTCCCAATCATGGTTACACATGGAACAATTAGAATGCCATCAGACTGAAGTTGGCTCATTTGATTTCTACAATGACAATGCACAGTTCTTCACTAGATCTGCTCCTCAAAATGAGAGGCTCTACAAGAAAATATGTGTGGTTTCTCTCCCGTATACAGATTCTTCCCTTCTTCAGAGCTCTATGCAGGACATTTCTGCTAAAGATACAGCCTACATCTGCTGATTGCATATTCACAAGACATGGCTCATTCCCTCTTCTCAGGTTTTCCACATTCTCTGGTGATATTTATCTGATGCTAGCATGTTGATTGTCTACATGTTTTCTGTAGCACTCTTTCTCAATAACAAAGTTGGCATCTTCCAGCAGTCCTCTGGGTAGAGAACTATCTCTACAATCGGCATAAGTGTTGCCTTTACCTTACTTTGCTTAGTGTCTAATATTATCTGCTGCTGCTCAGTGCTCTGCTAACAGCTCCAAACTGATCATAAAACTCCCAGGAATCATCCAATTAAGCTGAATAGTGAGAGATTCAAATGAGAAAGCAAGCATGTCATTCCATATTCACTACACAGGGATGGTTCTTTATACTCATGTCTTATAGCTGATAATAAGTCGCTCTGAATAGGGGATACTAACAGTTGTAGACATCCCTCCTGAAAAGTGTGTGTGCCTTTGCTTAGGAGAGGCTGGTTACCTTCTGAACTTAACAATATTGACAATGTTTCTCTCACCTTTCCTTTTTTCCCCTGTCCAGTTATCTCTTCCCCTCATATCATTTCCTCTTGAAGAAGCTTGTTTTAAATTGATGGTAGTCTCTGAAATAGGTATGGTAATACATAAACTACAGAACTATTTCATTATCAGAAACAGGATGGATTCACAGTATTGCATACTAAAGGCTGATTAGATTGTACCTCTGATGTTGGGTCAACATAACAAACCCTAACTATATTTATTTATATCCAAGCAGGTCTTGTTAAGTGTACTATAGCTTAATTCACACAAGATGCTAAGACAATGGTTAGATCCCTTCATATGATGAACCATGCATTATTAACCCTTATTTTATCCTGGCTTAATGTGTTATGTGAACTCAGACAATTAGATAAATGCAGGAAACCATGGTTCAGGAAAAGCAATCTGCTGTGTTATGTGAACATTGCTACATCATATCTCTCAGTATCAACTGCTGATACACAGAATTGGGAAAGTGCTGTTGCACTTTTAAGAGGCATCTGGTTGGCCACTAAGGGAGGCAGATTTATTAGATTTATATTCCACCTTTATTTGTACAACTCAGGGCAATATACATAACGCTCCTGCATCCTCTTGTCTACAGAAGAACAATCCTGTGGGTGGGTTGAGCTGAGAGTGAGTGCCTGGATCAAAGTCAGCCAATCTTTCATGCCTAAGAGAGGACTAAACTCACGGTCTCCCAGTTTCTAATCCACCACTTTAATCATCACACCAAACTAGTTAAGCCTTTGGTCTGATCCAGCACAATCCTTCAGTTGTGATCTTAGAATTCTACAAAGAAATGGGAGATGTTACTGAAATGTTGCTCAATCTCAGAACAAGTTATAAAGTACATTTTCTGTCAATTATTCCATCAGATGTCACTTTGCTTCTAATGTTGCCATCATTAAACTAGATTATCAAATGTGAAGTCTGACACTCATTTTGTTGCAGGCATGATTCTAAAAAAAACATCCACCAGCAGGTGTCACTTCCAGTCTCCATTTAGACTGCACACATCCTAAATTTCAGTTCTAGTCTCTGAGCGTCCACCTAATTTCTGAAGCATTTTCCTGACTGAAGTTTATAATTCTAGGAAAGGTGGAAGGAAAGAGAAAAAGAAGATGACCAGCAGCAAGGTAGATGGATTATAATTATAATGGTGATGGATTCACAATTGGAACATCTGAAGGACTAGACTGGGGACAGACTGTCCTGGAGAAAATCTATCTCTGTACTTGCTAAGAGTCAACACTGACCATAATCAAAGCATTGGAGTGATCCTGCTTATTGAAGTACAAGTTTTGTTGCCACACTTGTTATTCTTTGTACTCACTCAGTGATTATTATTATCACAGTAGTTTGTCCTTACCTTAATAAACTTGCATTCTGCCATTCATTTGTAATCACTTTTGCTTCCAAGATTTGAGAAGTACCATAAACTCACTAGGCACATTACCTAATTAGTGTCATAAACTCTTCCAGCTTCTGCATGTTTTAGTACCAGTGGTATCTAGCAGCCTCAAGCTGATTATTCTGATAGCGGATTCATCCATCATGTATGTCATGCTCAGCCTCAAATGTTACTTTTATTCCACTCATAATAGGTACGTCAGAATAAAAATACCCTTAAATATTCTCCAGACTATAGTGTTTCCTCTTGTACTTCTATTATCAAATTCCTCTGATGCCAAGCAATTGTATTTTTCAAATTCAATTAATATTCTGACCAGATTTTTGTACGATTTCATATCAAAACTTGTAAGGCACAAAAAAAAATCAGGAAAGAAAATAGTAAAATAAGCTAAAATATAATACAGGTGCAAATATTAATATGCTAAAAAAACTAAAACATTAAACTAATAAACTACTGAATGATTAAAATAGTACAATACTAAAATAATTTTCAAAAATTCTAAAATACTGCACAATAGCAGACTGATGTCAAAGTTTAATTTATGACTTCAGATATTAACAAGAACTACATAACAATTTATAAAATCAATATAAGATTGGATGAAAGGGAAGACCATAGATTTCTATTTTCCTACATTCTGTGTTCTTCTTATGACAGCATAGTATCCAGCAAGCTGCCAAAGTCAAACAAACTTGCCACAAGATTTCAGAGTGTATCTGCAAGCAGACAGTATACATACAAGTCATCCAGAGCACCTGGGGATTTTTATAATGGGGGGGTTATCATAGAACTTTGGATGTCCCTG